TAGTTATTTAGTCTAGACGTGAGTAAAACATATATATATATAGATAAAATATATATCGTCTCAGCTAAGACAAAGTGAACTATGCGCTTATCGTTGAGCTTTAACCTCACAAACTTTGAGACTGTGATATTTAGGCGAAGTATTTAGGGACAGAGGACAAGTAATGTTTGGGTCCCGGCCTACACCATTTGTAGTTCTAAGACCTGAAACATAGCACAAGTAGAAGTTGACAGCGCCCAACTGTAGCTCTACCTGTATTTTTTTATGTACGTACTTTTTAATAAGAACCTGAACGGGTTTGAATTTCGCTCGCGTAGTTGGATCAGTTCATCTGTTAAGGTCTTCAAGTGCGAATCGGTAATGTTTCATATATTGCATCATGTTTTGTATAGCCGTACAAAGAACATTTCAAGAGGTAATTGCCGCTCGTTATTTCCCGAACTATTAATAAGGTTTGTTTGTGTGTGCGCCCGGCATTGCTAAACTGCGAATAGGTTTCACAGAACTAGCTACTGACGCTGTTCTGGTTCAAAGCTCTAAGTATAGTGATCTGAAACGTGCTACGAATTCAAAATAACCGGACCTATTTTGAGCCCAGATGACTACCATACCTAAGTTGAAACATTTTTCTATAACCCGTTTCTAATACCGTATCTGAATAAAAACGCATGTTTCAAAGATTTTTTTTGCGCATGCGCTTGAAATGCCTGCCGATCATGTTTATTTAATAGAACCACTATCTATCGCAATCACAACTTCGATTTGACACCAAAACCGTTAACTAAGAATTTCAAAATATTACATCTTGTTAAAAGTCCAATGGAATTAAATTTGATTCACAGAAAGGAATAGGGTTGACAGAAGGCCACAGAGTTAAAAAATATAAAAGCTTAACATTTGAAAAGGTACAAGAAAATACAATCTATTTGGACGACCTAGTTGACAAATAATATTGTCTTCTCTGGAACGGTTGTTAATTCCTATAGCAGGGACCGAGGTGAATAAAAAATGTGTTTTTGAAGTAAGTAAAGTAACCAGATGACGCACCGCAAAGACATTATACCTGAAAGGCGCCGTGGTACATCCCAGGGTAATGGATTGAAGTGCGGAGGCGCCAGAACTCGAGGACTGCTGTTACGCAAAGGCGTAGACGCAGCCAGGAGGGCGGTGGCCGGGCGGGAGATAAAAACGTAAAGTTACACGGGCGCAGTTACACGCGAATGGGAATGCAAAATGACAAACAACAATAGCCGAGTGTAATGACCGCCAATATAAATAACAACGATCTTAACATTGTTTTTCCTCTTTGCTACGCATCCTTTGCGAGCGCGCTCTTTCTCTTGCCTCAGCGTCGCGGCCAGCGGACGGCACAATCTGACGCCACTAGCGGTACAATTTGTGGCAACCGGGATAACCTGACCTTGTCGGTGGTCTGGCCAGTATCTTCCACCTTACCTCTCGTCTTCTATTCTTTACGATAAACCAGATAATGAATGAAAGGATAACGGGTGGCTAGTCCCTTGGTCACTTCGTAAAGAACTAGACTTTCGGCCAAAAGCCTGACAATATATCGGCTAGGGCGTTTATAGTTTGAATCGGGTCTGAACTAGCAGCTATTTACGATTTCTTTTTTTTTTAGTCTTTACAATATGTAAATGGCGTCTTTCAAAAGAAATGAGTTCAGAAGAAAAAAGGTCCTTTTAATCCCGAAAATCAACGCTCTGTGGTTAAGTTTACTCCGAAGGCTAGAACGCTGCGAAAATTCAAATATAATGGAGAGATTGGACAAGAAATCTTTAAGCGGAATCACAGCAGGTGGATAGTGTTTCGGTGGCAAACAATTAAATACTGAACAATGCTATGGTTCTATTTAGACTAAGATCCATAGGTCTTTTGGTGTAGATATTATCCCTTCTATAATAGATATTCTTTTTCTATTCCTATCTAATCCTAAAAGTACTGTTTCAAACTTTTCGAAGGGGTATTGGTTATAGTTCCCTATCCTTCTCCTCCGTTCTCCAAACAAAGAACTTCATCAAACGAATGGGCACTAGAAGACACTGCACGAAAACGTTGTCAACCTCTGGTCTAGTTTCAACACTAATGATTGTTCACGGTCGGAATTACCGAGATCATTTCCGCAGTTCAATTTTGTAAAATGAAGCTCCGTAGATAGTACCATCGTGGAACATTATTAGTGTACGAAAAATTCTAAATGATATATGTAAAACAAGCAATTAAAATTAAGTATGGATTCATTGTTTGTACATAACCAAAAGGCAGCAACATCGTCAAAAAAAAAAATAGTTAATAGGAGACATTTAAAAAAAAAAAGAAAATTATTCCACCCGGTGTGGAAGGAAGCCTATCATAAACCTGATAGGCTTCACAGCAATTTTCTATTTTCATAAACTTGAAAAAACAACGTTGATACTCGTCGGCTCGATTTAATTAAATCATTAACACCTACGTCAATCGATTGTGCGTGTTTACTAATTAATGTTGACTATGAGTTACCATGTTTGATTAAAGCTTTTTCGAACAGCTTGTTTTTTCTGTTTGTTTATGTAATACATACACGAGATGGTGGCAGCTGGAATATTCATCTCGCTAATCCAGGAACTGTTTTGGACATGTAGGAAATCGTTATTAGTACACCTGTTTGAAGGAATTCTAAATTGTCACTTAGTTAATAACAGCCACTTCCCCTAGTGTACAGGTACTTTCGCTGTCACAAAGGCTTCCAGGAACGTTTCTGTTATAATGCGTGAGCCTTTTAATTTGTCTTGCTAATGAAGGGAATTCTGCTATGTCTATAGGATACCCAAAACCATCGTCTATCAGACTCAAACAGTGACCTCTGTCTCATAAGCAGAATTAGTGGAACATTCGGAATTATAAATCATCTAGATCTTTGTTCTGTGCTTGTGTTTTGTTGTCGTCAGTCGTCAGTGATCGATTATGATCTTAGTGGTCGCCGCAAGGGAAAGTGATGGTTCAGACATGCGGCGTCTTTGTCTACTGTTTTAATTTGTGCTGCGAATCCTCATAACTAATGTATCCTTTCATTTCAGTGTGAGGCATAGCATCGTTACTGAGTAGTGCTCTCTATTCAGCATGGAAATTTAATCGAAACCAGAAAAAGAGGAGGGTGTTTAGAAAGTCGCACAACTTTTGGGAGATTAACCCATCTCAACGATTACGTTCCATAAAATGTATTTGTATTTATTGATGCGCTAATATATATTGAAAAAAAACTGACGGGTGGCAGCCCGGAGAAATATATCTTGGGACTAGTGAAACCCTGGTCAATGTCTTGAGTAGTCTATTCGATGTCAACAAAATTTGACTCCTTCAAAATATGTTTTATTACACTTTTTCTTTTTTATTTAAAAAAGTGAAGTTTTTTTACGTTGATACGTAATCAACTAACATACAAAACGCAAGATATCACGTAGAAGGTTACTTCTAAGGCTATCAAACTTTAGTCATTCATCATCATGAGTTCTATGAGTAACTCTATAAATACCCTGTGTATATTTCAGCCAGAACCACTTAGATGGATATCGAATTAGGCGTTGTTGTCTTACTATGTTACACGAAAGAATGTGTTACAGCGGCGAAATGATAACCTATAATTAGCAATAGATATGAACTGCTTGAAACTGTGAACTTTGCCGAAACCTGGACAGTTTCGGACCTTGTTAACTGCTTTCTCAATTACCATCAGTTCTACTTAAAAAAAAAAAGTGTACTCGATCGGTAGCTTGACAAAAGGCGTGGTGAGGTACAGGGAGGCATTAGATGTTTTGATTCCCATTAATTTTAGCCTGAAACCCTGACGTACCGCACGTGCACTTGGCTAAGCTATTACTTCTATCAAGTAATAAGAAACGGTTAAAAAAAATGAATGACAGACTGGACGCAGATTCCGACGCCAATAACATAAAAGCACAAAAGGCCAATAAATGTAGTTCTCAAAAAGATAACCTTTGTCATAAACTGTTCTACTGGCTGCAACGCAGCGTTTTCAGATAATCCTTTTTCTAACAAAAAAACACTGTGTCAAAGACTAGGAATGCATACATTTTATCCGAACGTTTTTCACTCTACTTTCATAAATCTTAAGCACAACGTGCATGATCGTAAACTGGTGTAGAACCAACTTGTTACCTATTGATTAGTGCCAAAACGGCCATAATAAGAAGGCCCACTCGATCGGTGATATATATATATATATATAATCGTTCGGACAATTGCTCCCTTCTGCAGTTCAACGCTATTCTGCACTAATCCTGAAGCTAAATTCTCTTAGAATAGTAGGACATCGGCGCGGAACTGATACGGTTGAACTAGAGGATTTCTAGCACTGCGACCCATTAGCACCTCTCCAACTAGTCATAATTACCTCCCTTAGTAAACAACGGTAAAATGCATCGTACACCAATCACATGGCAATTCGCAACTAGCACAAATGCGCATTTGCCAGATGCGGAACATCATTAATAGCAGATTCACAATATAACCCATTTTCTTATATTTTCACTAAAATGATCAAATTATCGCCAGCTGATCCTGAACATTGGAATGAATGTGCTATGTTTATATATGTGAGAAAAGGCGGTTAGCGTTAGTTAAAGATAAAAATATGCCAATGTATTATTACCAATGGTTTCTCTCTCTATTTTATCGTATGAGTTTTCAAGCTACCGTACCAAAAAAGGATTAATAACGATTTTTGTCCGGCTGATAAATCTTCGAATTTTTTTTTTTATTGTTGTTCCTTCCGAATTCTTTATTGTTTCAGTAAAAATGAAAGTAACAATCTTATCTCTACACAAGCCAAAATAACAAAGATTTAACGTGATTCAATCGCATGTCATTATCTCCGCTCCGAATGCTCCCTACAAATAGCCACTAGGAATCCTATTTCGATTAGCTTTTGACTGATCTATCCTATATTAAACTGACTTTGACATTTCTGTCCCTATTCTTCGCAGATAATAGTTAATCGTCTCTTTCATCTATCCGGTGACGCTGGCGACCTGCCATGACATGAACTCGAAACGCAGGTATTGAAAAAGTGCGTAGACTTATAGGAAGACAGTGCGAAACAGGTATCTCATTTGTCATTTTAAATTGGCGGAGATATATCAGCTATTACGTTATACTACAATCCAGCTGTACAAAACCTAATTATGAATTTATAGTGCCGGACCATGGAGCTGCTAGGAGCATGATGATGAAAGATAGCGAAATGGTACACACTATTGTTGCTTTTTATTCTGTCCCCTACTCCCGGCTTATATTATTTCAAATAGTAGCTTATCCGAACAAGTGATCAATAGAGAGCTACCTGCCTTATAAAATACTGATATCAGTTCTAAGCCTAGACGTCAACAAAAAATACCCGAACAGGTGTTCAGCAATTCACAAGTTGTAGGTAGGTCCAAGTGCACCGGACAGGTACTAAAAGAAATAAGATTTATGAACAGCCGACTTTTTTCCTCGTTTTTTTTTCTTACATCTTTAAATCAAATACTTATTGTTGCGTTTCGGCAATCAAACAGCAACATCCGGTAATTACGTTTTGATTTTACGAAATTTCCTAGGCCATTCATCAAATGATCTATAAATTTGTGCCGGCAACTAAACTAAAGTAGATGAAGAACAACGAAAAGCGGAGAGAATAGATATAGACGCTAAAATGAAGTCCTTCGCCGTTGTGATAGATTTTATCCTTATCTCACCCTCCCCCCCCCCTCCTTCCCCCGATTTCCCAATAGAGCCGACGGTCCTATCACGGTAATAATACTCGATATTGAAAAAAGCAGGTAAATCATCTTCGACTTAGCGTCTTCACTACACCATTGACTCTCATATACATTATTAGATACCACAACAAAGTCGTCGTTGTTCGTCTTACAAACGGATACTGATAATACGGCACCGACGCGTCTTTTGGTAAAAAAAATTCAGATCGAAAAATGATAGGATTGGCGTAGCCTCAAAAATAACATCAACAATATATAGATACCTTCAATTGTCAAATGCTCAATATTGGAGTGCAAGTGATAATCATTTAATTATACACAATACACGGAGATACGGCTTTCAGAGGGGGGGATTCAAGATCTGAGTGGAAAAAATACAAAGATATTATATTAGGCTACGCAATACATTTATATAGAAGCTAAAATAAAAGCAATTTTTTTTTTTTTTAATATTTAAAATAATGTTTCTAAGCTAAATATACGCCATTATGATCTTCTATTATTTTTCCAATACCATGGTATCATCGCTGTACAACTTCTGGAGTTTCTGCGCAAAAAATTGTGACGACTAGTTTTTGCATTTTTCCACTGAAACTGAATTAATGCTATGAAGAGGGTTCTGCAGAGACCGAAATGGATGATTGTTTAATGGCACAACATCCGGCTATACGGCGGCTACACTAAAAATTTCCCATCCAAGTCCTCCCGATATTTTCTGGATAACTAAAAATATATGTGATTTTTATGGCGAGAAACGATGCATTTTCTTTTCACTATTTCCAATAGATTTTTTAATAGCCTATCTTATATGTCTCTTAGTATGATTCCGAATCAATCATTTCGCCTATCAACAGATCCTCACAATATACGATTCCTTTCCGAGCTAACCAAACACACGGCATCATCTTCTTTGGCGTCTGTATGGGTTTTGCCACAGATGACCGAGTATATTTTTTATTTTTGTTTTTATTTGCACATTATTATCGTATACGATATATCGTTCATCACTTGTGATCAAGCGCTTTAAAAAAATCTCTACCTCGTTGCGCTTCTGTAAAGCTTGCCAGATAGAAATACGGATCAAATAAATTAGTTTACGTTAATTCGTGTGGCATTTGAACATCAAGCCGTAGCCAGCCTTCGTCATGGCCTAATATTTAACTCCTTAGCAATCACGGCTAGTCGTACATTTACAGTAATTTTTTTATCAATTTATTCCCCAATTGGTCAATTACTACGAGGAACATCGAAATTTCCAGAACAAAAAGGATATAACCATCTTTGGGCTTTGTTCCGATAACGCATTATGACCATAAAGAACACACATTTTTTATGAGCGTGGGCAGAATTTGTGCCTTCATCATAATAACAATAGAATTTTAGCAGATATTTCGCTCATATTTAAGGTGCTCTATAATAAGCCTGAATGAGGGTATTTCAGCAACTTTAGCTATCTGTTACTACCGTATCTTAGCTTTCAAGTGACACCAACGATGTGACCCATATTACCCAGGATATGTAACTCCAAAGCCATCTGGTTTCAAAAAGGATCAATAAAATCTTGACAGCCAACCATATAGTACAAGTTAATAATTATTCGTTGAATCAAATATAAATTTTATCGAAAAGCAGGCTATATGATATAACTGGTGTTGTCATGCTTATAATTTATCAAACGAAAACAATGTGAGGCTTCGATAAGATCCCATAGATTCACACTCACCATAAACCCAATCCCTTGACGACTCACGATTTAATTTTGACTTCACCGAACTGATAAGTTGTCGCGCGTGATAGCTCTACTGCTACAAGTAAGAGGGCTGTATCGATGACATCTTATAGAAACAGCGATGGGTAACTGGTGTTATTGGTAAGTACGCCAGCTAAGCTTAGTGTCAAAAAGTAAAAAAAATGCTTGTCAGAAATACAATAAAAAATCTACTACGAAGCACAAATAATTTAATAAGATTTGGTCGACGATGGTCGGGATAGCCACTGCCGTAAGTGTCAATTTTCAACCTGCACTCAAAACTCTCAAACTGGTTTTTTGCGAATTGTAACTACCAGTTGAGAAGAGCATAAATATATATATATTATATTATCATATATTATATTACCATATAAACTATTATCAGTCCTTCTAAGCCGTACAATTTTGGCAGTGCGTGAAAATAAAACAAAAAACTTTCCTCAGGACCAATTTATATTTCATACTTAATCAATACTTATCCGACGTAGCCAATCGGGCTTATGTTTCAAGCAGTCATTCAACTTAACAGTTATCTTAGGCAGACAAAAAACGTCGCAACTCCCAGTTGACCATATTTATTGGGGCTGGTGTTCTTTTTCATCTTACTGAGTCTACGAGATCCTCCTCCAGCATCAGTAAATGGGCCTTTTATGTGAGTTGCACGGCTTATTATATTAATCGTCCTTTGTCTCCTAAGGTTTTGATCAAATCCTATTTTTACTATACTACAGCCATATTTCACTTCTCTTCGGAATGCATCATCTGCTTAATCTGCTGATCATCTGTTTCCCCTGAGGCACATAAGACACAGGTGTCAACCAAGAGTTTACCTATGCACATTATGCGTGCTTGGACCTGGCCATGTTCAGATGCAACCGGGGTGAGATGGTATGACATTCCTCAAAGGGTCTATGGTACCACTCCTTTAAATGGAGGACCAGTGCTTTGGCCCATTCACCGCGTGGGTGTTACTATAGGATTCGCCCAGTCTCTGCTCCGTCTGTTTGGGCTAGACTTTCTTGCTTGGGTAAGATTCCATTCGCCGTCCAATGCTCTTTTTATCCGTTCACCTGCCAAAAGGTCCCGTAGTATCATTCTTGTAATTTTCGTGTCGCTCCGTTGAGATCGTTCTCTCGACTGTCGCCAGTTAAATGCCTAAGACTCTCTGGGCCGATCATAATGTGTTTGTCTGCTTTTTGTGTCGTCAGAGCGTTATTTGCTCACACGGGGCAAGCATGAAGAGCCGTAAATTTTGCTGCTGTTTCCGGTAATTGTTTGGTGTGTTCTTTAGCTCTCGGTACGATCTCTGCAAGTTTAAGCCGTGCCTGCGCGCCGAGCCCACAAGTCCCATATCTGTCATTACTCCTAGTTACTTCGTCCATTTCCCTATAAGAATGTGCATTCCTCCCAAAGCGAGGACACTAACTGCGAGCGGTGCGCTGTCATCCATTGCTCTACCCGGTTGAGAGCCTCATTCGCTTTATTCTCCACGCAATATTTATCGCACGTGGTGACAATCAGTGCTAGATCATCAGCATATGCTACCACCGCGACCTCTTCGAACGGTCCCAGCAGGTGAAACACTCCGCCGTAAAAATCACACAACATCAGTCCAAGAACAAAGCCCTCTAGAATCCCAGCAGTGACCCGACAGTGTTACCCTACCGTCCATAAGGACGTATCTCCCAGATAGTGGTGAACTTATCTTTCATTAACAATTATGTAATAACATCAAATTGTTTTAACAGTAGTACACATTAATTTCTTATGTAGTATAGTCTCAAGGCGCTCCTTCAAGCCCGTTTGAATTCCGGTTCCGACTTATTATGGACTAACGCTGAAAATGCAACGAAAATTTATATCGCCTAATAGAATATATGCACAACTCGCAAGACTTGTTACACGTACCTGGTATTCTACTCACTTTAATTCAGTTTCTGGCCTCAAAAACATAACGAGACTTTGCTATTATTACTCATAAAAATGCACACTTTGATACCGAAGTGTGTACTTCAGCAGTAATTTCGGTAACATTTAAATTCAGTAACCCTACAATAGACTGCGGCGAATAGAAAACAGTAGCTTGATTTTGAGAGTAGCAGCTCAAGCTTTATCGATACTGCCTTCATCCATTCCAAGTAAAGCTATTGTATTCGTTACAATGTTAGCTTCTGTCCAGTGCATGTTGAAAAAACGATTCATGTACATAACCTAACCGCATTGGCCTTGTGTGTGTTGTATTTTTTGCGACATAGATCTCTATTTTCCATGTTTAAATAGGATTAGAAGTAATCCTTACATACTCATTTGAATATCTTCGCTAAATAGTTCAAGTGCTATCATCTGTTCTAGGTAATAGTAGTTTCAGATGTGCGATAAGAGATCATTATAATGAGGTTTTTGACGCAAACAATGGCACCCATTTTGGCCGAGTTAGGTTTTTGTCATCACATGTAAATGGCGACAGCGACCTTTTTTGTTACCCTGAGTTACAATAACTTGACGTATCCAGCTGCTCGATTGTCAACGACGGACATTATTATATACGCGTAGTTCACAGATCCAACATGAGGTGAAGCTTAGCCTATTTTTTAAAGTAATCCTTTGAAAATAAAAACCAAAAGGCTCTAAAAGATTGGGGGGGCTTGTTAATATATGTGTAGAATTTCAAAATAAAATAGCCGTGTTTATCGTAAGTGGTTAGAACTGTCTGAAAATACAGTTTTCTGATGTTTTGTTTTTCTAGTGTGGCACTAACTGTGAAGGGTTGAAGTAACAAACCGACAAAAATCATATGGCACCCTATGAAGTTTCATAAAGAAGCGCAGTCATTACAGCAAGGCTCTCTTCAGAAATGGGAAACAAGTGGTCGAGCGGATTTTTTATGTGGATCGTTTTTTTTCAAGGCTGAAGTGTAATAGCAAGAAGCCTCCAGCATATATTATATTGCTAACAAAATCAGGTATTAACAGAGAATGTTGTTGAGGGTTTCATCATGTGTCAATTTGTACTACTTACGGTTTTGCGATGGACGAAAGAAAGCATTAAACTCATATTCTGGACGACCTGTGCAAATAAGGGCGAAGACGCGAAAAAAGGCGAGCATTACTAAACTACCCTCACGGGTTTCGAGACAAGTCAAACATCTCGCGTGAGTTATGTCGTATCATTCTGAAGGACCAATTGGAGATGAAAACCTTCAGAGCAGATTTTTTGTCGAAGGATTCGCCTTTCGAGAAAAAGTAGAAACTTCAACAACTGTTTCTGTAACGAAAATTCAGTGTACGAATACGACGTATGGACAACAGTCCAATCACTCACGTATCGGCTTAAAAACGAGCTCAGAAAAATATTAGCTACGACATCTGCGTCAAACCAAGCTTCTTCACTTCATTTCTACTACCAGGAAGTTATGCACCAGGAACATATGCATGTTCCTGACATGAGTTCCCGAAATGTAGTTGTACTGTCACTGAAAAATACTAGCAGAAAGTCCGAAACACTTTGTCTAATGCCAGTCTGTTAAATAAGACTGAACTCGAAACTGCGCGTGTCATTAGTACTTCATTACAATAACGCACCATCTCACACGGCTTTACTAATCGCATCTTTGAAAAGGAGCTCAATGCATGTCCAACGTTTCCACTAGATCTAGTCATTTTTCCTCTTCCTGATGTTCAAGAGACGCCTGAAAGATGAAACTTTAGGGAAGTTTATCTAATTAAAAGGGGAAAAAAACGAGAGAATAGTATGGCAGTGTATTTGAGTACTGAGTTTGAAATCATTAAAACTAAAGATACACAAAGGTGGCAAGCGAGCATTACATCTAGTAACTATTGCTTGCCCGGCGAACAGACGGTTAAGCCATATAATTGGAGTTGATACAAAGCCAAGTTCCTGCTACTTTTTCGATCCCACAGCATATATAGCACTGGCGTTTGGAACGAAGCTATTGATTGATGTAGACGTTCCTTGAAGCCAGAAATCTCTGGTCCAAATCTCGTCTAGAACATTTACAACATGATAGGTATGATTAAAATAGGAAGCAATCATAGCTCCTCATTCTGCGATGTATGCCGCCCGTCAAAACAGTTTCTGCCGAAAATTCAGGCTTCTTTAGTCAATTGCTCCTAATGAGCTTTTCAAAGATAAAGAAAGTCGATACATCAAAGTGCGAAGAACATTGTTCGAGTCAGGGTGCCACCAACGACACGTTTCTATGAATCTTAATCAGAACGTACGTTTTTCACTCGAAAGATGAACGTGTCTTTTAAGGATTTTGAAGAAGTACATATGACTAAAGACCGATCAAGCCGCAAGTAGAGACCTATAGAGTCGGATTATGATAATTCGGAATGTAGACAACTCACTATCATTCAAATTCAGTTTACTCTGAAATTTATCAGCCATGCTCGTTAGGTGGCTTTATAATATGATATAGTCCGGTCATACTGAGGCAGTGTTTGTAGCTTCCCTAATACGAATCGCGGAATCATAGACGTAACCAACTTTTCTATAAGTTGAAATGTTCTATAGAAATGTTTCAAATGCATGAAACTGTACTTTCGTGACAGTTTTTTTTTTAATTTTTCTCGTCGATGTTTAAGTTTCTCAATACATTTTTTTTTTTTTTTTTTCGCCTCAGATCGAGCATGATGATTGGACAACGATGCATTTAGGCTGCTGAGAATGTTCAAAAGTTATAAACCTTAAATCAACAGTACAAATCATAAGGACCTTACAATAACTACGGAAATCGTTTCATGCTTTCGTTCTGGTTAATAACGTGGTTAAGCCCATTAGTAAGCTCCTATATGAACTTCATAAACACCGCTGTAAAGGACACCGTCAGTGCTGATTTGATCTATTCCAATCATTCCAATCCAAATGTAGTTACTTCTGAAAACGATTGAATCCGATCTGCGCATGATCAGCTTAAATATGCATATATAAGTTATGCATATATTTTATATGTCGAGGCAATCACGCTTAAGGCATTATTTGTCAAGCAATTATAATTTAGTTTATTTAATCAGACTATCATTGAGTGGCTATGGCGTCACGAAGTGTAGGTGTTACTCCAAACTAAGCCTATAGAAATGTCCGGTTCCTATTGTTACCAAAAGACACTCTAAAGTGGATACACTTGTAATATAACTCTTTCGAATTAGACTCGGCCGAACGGATTTGCCGACAATGGATTAACTTATGAGGTCGTGTCCTTTTAAAAAACTAGGATTTTTTAAAAGCGTCGAATATAGGAATAGCGAAACATATGATACCTTTGGTTCCGTCATGATACAAAAACTCCAGGTGGCGCCACTAGCAAAATCAATTACTCTTAGTTTTCTTCGTCTCTGTGACCGAAATTTTCTCTATTGGAAAAAGCCACTTAAATAGTGGCTTTTTCCTATAGGCCACTAGTCCAAGTCCTTTAGGAGTTGAACGTATTAGAAAATTACGAAGAAGAATATTTAAAATAGAAGATGATCTGTAAGTATTCATCGAAATGAACAACCATTACCACGACGTAAACTATACTATTATATACTTAGTATCTAGTGCATAATCTGACTTTAGTACATAAGCTCGCAATGGTAAACATTGGTGCTTGATTCATAATTCTATTGCAGGTATACGATAGACCAATATGTAACTACTAAATGTAATACAATATGTAAATACACTGTATTATAGAAATATCTTTCACTCTCGTAATATATGAGGTTGATTAGTGAGATCAACTTATTGAGTTTTGATATCTAATCAAATACTAATCGATTGTAAACATCTCATAGAATGTGGGAAATAGAAAATTACCATTTTCTCTTTTCGGCTTTTCCGGAAAACATCCGGCTCTTAGAGAATGGCCCGGGATATACGAAGTGTCTCTAGCTTGTGTCCAAAGTCCAGGTTCGCTAGTCGTCCTTTTCCGCGACTGCAGGCAGACAGAGCCGACAAATTGTGCATTTTGATACTCTCGCAGCTGTGGTTTGCTTGTAAATTTGTACTTCTCTATGTCAACACCATTCCATCGCGTCGGTAAAAAACGTAAATGCGACATGTTCTGAGCTTAATGAGAAATACCAAAAAATTATATGCAGTAAACGCAATGACAAGAAACTTGTTTCTCCCAGTTATTAATGTTTCAAGCCACTAATGACGGGAGATGACATTTGGTAATAGATGAATGTTAATCTCAATAGACTCGATGCTTTTAAATATAATCGGTAAAGACCTTATGGGACGAGATACTATAAAATACCTACCAAAGTCTTCTATCGCATTCCTGGAAAGCAGTACGAAATTGGTTAGTTGCACTCAGCTGACGTATAGCCTAATTTGGATGGATGAGATGACGGATTTCTTCTAGATTATTACATTTACTCATATTGGTCTATGGCACCAAGGACATATGGAGATTTGAAAGGTATACACAGCAGATAAATGGAGACCAAAAACCACCATATGGGGCAAAAGTGGATGAAGCACATTTTATGTTTGATAAGTACCAAATATTCGTGCTGTAAGTACAAAAAGTTTATCCTAGATAAGTGGCTATATAATTTAATCAAAGCGGCGGGAACAGTTAACATTAATTAACATCAAATGTTTGCATACTTGAACTATATTACATTATATTTTCGAGTTATATATTAAATTCAAATAACATTATCCTATTAAAGCTATACACCCCGTTCAAATAAACGTGTGCTGTGTGTCCGTAACAATATCGTGGATGAAACTAAAAAAAAACTATGTATTCATATACAAATCTACAAGATACACCTCATGTATCATATAAGGTTGCATCGCATTGATGATGTTTTTGTTATGCCCGACGGGGTCCCCTATTTATTTTCACGTTTCTGTTTGCCGTCTACAGGTATATTGCAGACGGTTCCAATATATTTTGTGCGCGACGTCTATTGAAGTCGTTGGAGCCTTTAGTCGAAAACAGAGTTCAGCCGAAGCCCATCTTAGATTCTAAGATGTTACCAACCAGATCACAAAAATTAAGGAGGATATTTAAATTAACGACTGTTAACAGCAAGTGTTTTCCAGTTTCCCCGTGAGCAGTTTATTTCATGGCTGTCTCAATACTAATAGTAAATACGCTAGATTTCAAATGATAAGTCTCTCGATTTCCTAATTTTATGTGAGAAAAGAAGGAGCATCAATTGGATGAATAGAATTTTTATGAATTGGATAGTACCGAAATCGGCTTATTTGGTAATTAGTTCGTATTTTCAGAGTTGTGCCCTGGTACAATCACGTCCCTATTTAATAGGATTTGTTTACTGCAGTGTATAATGAAGCTATCACTTAAATGCGTCAACTATAATTGAAGTGTTACTATGTTGTCCTTATTTTCGCTAATCGTTCCAAAGGTTACACCACTTGATTTTTTAGTACCTAATTTAGGACGTCTAACTTAAAGCGGCCAGGTAACTTTAAGTTATCTGTTACAGGGTATTGGTAAGGTCTTCTACATTTGTCATCAACGACACCTAAATACACGGCTAATGTGAAAACGGGATTATATATATATATATATATATGGGGAGAGCGAGGGTGTCACAATGAGAGATTAACCAAAGTTTGACGGTTTTAACGATAAGGCACGGTACCTCCATCTTATTTTTTTTTCTATAAATATATATGCTTACTTATAAACAAAATTATCTCTGATCGTGTTAAGTTAATATCTTCAATGGCTAATGATACTTTAAACAAAATCTGACACACTACGAGATACATTCTACATTCTTACCTTATTTTCTTAAATTATCCCGATATCCGTTTCCACGACGAAAAGTAACAATATTTTGCAGGCAAATTATCTTTAAAGCGGCAAGTTGTCGTTTTTTTCATTGCAACATATTGCGGATCAGTTCATTTATATGGTTATCTCTTCAAAGCTGAATATTATTTGTGACAGGATACAAATGCTGTCATTTAGTATATTCGCAATAAAACACATGACTATGTTACGTAAAAATACTTTGCTATTAAAAGGTTCAAATTAATTTTGAATGAATTGAAAAGAAACCTAACCTAAATAGTAAGTTTGGAAAGTTAAACTTAAAAAGCTAATCTTAAAACTGCGTGGGTGTGTCTGTGGAGCGTCGCCATCGATATACCGTACGCAATAAGTTGCGCTTTGAAATTTAATCGTATTAATGGCAGATCTGCAAACTCTTTTTAGTCAACTAGACAAACCAAATGCGGCTATGCATCTCTTGCTCCATATATATATATA